CTTCCTGTCTTGTCTTTCCTTTCTACGTTGTAGTCTCTCTCTGTTGCCCAGGCTGGAGTGCAATGCCACAATCGCAGCTATGGCAGCCTTGACCTGCTGGGCTCAGGCGATCCTTCTATCTCAGCCTCCCAATTAGGTGGGACTAGCTATGCCTGCCTAATTAAATTAATTTTTTTTTTTTTTTTGTAGAGATGAGATCTCATTTTGTTGCCTAGGCTGGTATCAAACTCTTGGATTGGTATTACTGGCATGAGCCAACATGCCCGGCCCCTTTTCTAAGTCTTATGAATAGGGCAGCACACAGTGGGGAAGTTAGAGCTTGATCCCAGAGGAAAGACTAAGTGACAAGAGGGCATAAAAGAACCTTTGAGAAGCCAGGACTGTGGTTGTGTGATGTCAGGTAGACCTCGTGTGTAAGAGTTTGACAGTCCCGGGAAGACAGACACCACCTGTTTCTCTGAGTTCTCTTCTTCTTGTCTCTCTGTTTCACCTCCTTTCACTTTCCCAGTTACATTCAAGGCCACCTTTGGAAGTTTCCTGTCAAAACCAAGGCAGCTGTAGGGGTTGGTATGCCTCCAGGCAAACTTTAAACAATTATCTTCACAATTCCTGTAGCTGTTTGAAGGCACCTGAGGTCGTGGGATTTAAAAAATTACAAAACGAATGATAACAACTAAAACCCAACTCAGGTAGCCAGGAGGGCTCAGATTCCAGCAGTCGTTGGCATTAATTGAAGGAAAGGAGGGTAGGCAAGCATCAAAACAAGCAGAAGCCACCATTAGCAGTCACCTGGCAAGAACACAGTGATTCTCAAACAGCCAAATAAAAGTAGGGACTTAGAACAGTGGTCACCAGTCTCTGTGCCAGGACCTCACACAGGGCATAAGATGCCTGCAGACCTGTTTGGGCATCAAGCATGGTGCGAGGATGATGGAGTGAACACCAAGTCCCTGTGTGTTTGTCCTCTGTATTTCTTTGTAGAAGCTCTTAGGATCAACACAGCATGAAGCGCCCTTACCGGTTCCTGTGGCTTTTGGTCTCTATGTTTTTTTCTTAATCAGCAGAGAAGCAATGCAGCCAAAACGACTGATGGAAAAAGGCATCCTCCTCAGATATGGATCTGAAAAGAATATGTTGTTTGCTGCTTACCCAAAATGCCATCATGGGGGCAAATGTGAAAGTGATGAGATTCATTGATGGGCAGGATGTTCCTTAGAAGCAGTCAGAGTGAAGGGTGGAGTGAGGGCCAGTGGCTGGGGCAATAAGGCCTTTTATCAGGAACTCTAACCCTGGGTAACTTCAACCAAACCACATTCAGAAGTGCCTTATACCTTCTGACCCACAGTCCTCATGAATACAAGCATCTGTCAATAACTAAAGCAGAATTTTATGAATGAAATGGAACTTCTCCTTACTATGTGTGACACATTCTGATATTTTACACTATTCTGTTTCTTCTTTTTAAAAACGCTCATCTGGTACTGTTAAATGGATTTCACAACCCATAGTTTGAAAACACTGATTTATAATAAGTTTCAGAATCTGGAATTTGTCTTTATTGTTCACTGCTGTTTCCCCAAATACCTAGAATAGTGCTTGACATTTATGACTCAACAAATGTTTTTTGAATGAATAAGTGAATGAAACTGGTGAGGACTAGTTCATACTTCATTTTGTCTTGCAGATGTGAACGTTGAGGCTGAGAGAAATGTGTGAAGTCCCCAAATCACAAAGTTTAGTGAGTCTAAGCCAGGACTAACTCTTGTCTCTTATTTCCAAGACTGTGGTTTTGTTTTTTGTTTTTTTAGACTAACACTTCAACCTCTCTGGTAATGAGTATTATACAGCAGGTTAATCAGTCAAGGCATAGCTTCTCTGTTGGTCAAGGGTTTCCTGTGGGGGCAGTTTGGTGATTCTTTATGTCCCACTTGGACTTGAGTATTCTGTTCCGTCTTTGGGGCAGACCGTCCACACCAGGGGCTCACAGCTTGTGTCTCTTGTTCCATTTCCTCTTACATTTGATGGACATGCACAAGGATAATTTCCTAAATGTTAATCATGTAGCACTTCTTTTCCTCTTAAGAATTTGCATAGAGACCTGGCAAAAATAAAAAAATGAAAAGTAAAACGAATTTTCTCATGTACAGGAAGATGCTGTGCTGGCTTATAGCATCTTTGGTTATTTTGAGTGACTTCAGGGAATACGAGTAATGAGAAAAATCTGACATTTTAGTTGAGACTTCCAAATGTGACAGCAGTAAAAAGACTGAAAAATCAAACTGCAATTCCTTAGTCATAGTTCTTCTTTTCATTCTGTTTTGCCCTTTTTGATTTCTACTTTGTGTCATTCTCCCTTCTTTTTAGGGAAGTGGTTACCACTTCTCAAAAGTTTATCATGATTGCAAAGGTCTTAAATAGCAAACGTACCTATGGTTTACAAAATAAAAATCAGAGCCGAATTGAAGAGATGCAGAACTTTCTTATTCCTAGAGAGGAAATTTAAGAATGGAAGAGACTTCCTCTCTGGGGAATCCCAAAGTTTCTCCATAGTTGACCTTTGCCACTTTTTCGTGCAGTGTTCCAGTTACTGGTTTTACACTTGACTTTTAGAGGGGGTGGAAGCAGAGCATTGGGGAAAGGAGATGTCTCTGAGGTAATTGTAGATTTTTTTCTCTCTTTTTTTTTTTTTAAAGATGAAAGCGATTTTTTTTTTTTTGGAGTTGGAGTCTTACTGTCACCAGGCTGGAGGGCATTGGCACAACTCTCGGCCACCGCAGCCTCAACCTGCTGGACTCTGATGATCCTTCCACCTCAGCCTTCCAAGTAGCCAGAACTACAGGTATTCACTACCATGCCCGGCTAATTTTTTGATTTATTGTAGAGACAAGGTCTCACCAAGTTGCCCGGGCTGGTCTTGAACCCGCGGGCTCAGACAATCCACTCACTTCAGCCTCCCACAGTGCTGGGATTACAGGCTGAGCCACCTAGCCCAGCCTTAAGATAAAAATGATTTAATGGTCAGTTTAGAAATATCTAGAAGGAGAAAGTAAAGCATTTGAAAATGCTAATGTGTTTTACCTTGGCATTCTTTTCATCCTTCTTTAGTCTTTCTGTGAAGAAGTGACCTTTTGTCTTGGGTGAGACACTGACCACCGCTCAGTGCCCTGCTTTCGGAGCTGAGTCCCGGGAGGGCTTTTCACCTGCTGTGACTCCCAACCCCTTCTTTTCCTTCTTGCCTTAGTGTACCTCCCTTCTCCCCTAGTCTGTTGCCTTTCTTCTTCAGTAACCCTGGCATTGCCCAGTCAGGCTTTTGAACTTCCTGGGTCATCCCCTAAGTAGAGTGGATCATGTGTCCTCAGATTTTTTTTGTTCCCTGCTGCCTCGACTGCAATTGCTCAACTCGTTTCCCCCACCTGAGGTTTTACTACTCTCACCATGGGCAAATATGGAAAAATTACAGCCTTACAAATCACATGTTATCATGGCCCGGACTCCTGCATCCCTTTCTTCTGAAGGTACTCAGTGTTAGACAGTAGGTCCCAGCTGTTCCTGTCATTGGAAATGCTTTCTTGCCCTGAGTCAGTGGTTTTCAACCTGGGCAATTTTGCCCCCCTGTGGCCATTTGGCTATGTCTGGAGACATGTTTTGGTAGTCACAACTGGTTGTGGGTGTGGGTCTG